GTCACATGACACTCGGATCCTGTCCCGGCTCTGCTCTGCCGTTGTCTTGTTGCCTCTCAGATGCGTCGCCTGCCGTCTGAGTTTCCCGCCCTTTCCCCTGGTCCGCAAGAAGGCGATGAAAGTCCCGGTGCCTGTCCCGTTCCCCTCACAGAGCGAGCTGCCACGTGAAAGTGTCTGGTGCCTCCAGCAGAGGGCCGGTCTGACACTCGCGTTGCCCATCGGGCCGAGGCGTGACTGCCTCTGGAGTTAACCTGGCCGGCTTTACTCATGGAGTTTTCGCTCCTAAAGCACCCGTTGCCGGTCCAAAAGTCAGAGCGAGGAGAACGTGGGGCGCAGCGGTGGCTCTGCGTTCCTCGTCATCTTGCCAGCCTCTTTAAGTTCTTTGAAAATTCACTCCTCGCTTCAAGTACCTCTTCCCTGGGGTCTTCAGCGTTACTGAGAGGGAAAAGGCAGATTTTTGTCGTTCGTGAGAGGATGAAAACGACGTTCACCTAGTTTATTCAAGACAATAAGTGGGAATTCCAAGGGGTTTCTCTGCTGTCCTCGAAAGCCCGTGTCTTATTTTAGCCTGCCACCCCTGTCCCTGCTTCTGTGACGGGCCTCGAGGTAGTTTTTCAGCAGGGTGGCTCACACGCCCCGTCCTGTTTAGAGGTTGCTGTCGTTTAAATAAGAGAACAGAATCTTGCAGTCAAGAACCTTGCAAATCAAGATACCTGCAAACCAAGAATCTTGGAAAGAGAACCAGAAAGAACTGGAATCCGTAATTTGGATTACCGTGATCGACCATATTGGATGTCGTTGGGAATGGAGAAGGAAAGGGGTTGGGGAAGGATCAGAGGAAACCTCAGCCCTCATAAAGTGTTAATTTTCTTTATAAATACTGAGCAAAGTGACAGAATGCTAAGACTTGTTCGTGTGGAGGTGTAGTTACGTGGGTGATTGTTCCTATACCTTCCTGTGCTTTTAAAACTTCCCAAAGTACAGATGAGAGATGATATAAAGAAAGAGGTATGGTCTGTTCTACGTGATAGTTAGAATCCGTTGGTGAACAGTGGGATCCCCAAGGGGGTTCGCTCTGCTGGAGGAATTCAAGCGTGGCCTCCTGGACAGCGACCGTGTGAGCCGGGCCTGCTGATCACCAACAGAAATGCTTTCTTTTGCTTGCCTGTCGTTCACTGAATGTTCTGGGTTTGCCCACTTGGGTTGGTTGCATGCTCTTTTTCTGGACGCTGGTACTCTTTCTGGAGACTGATGGGGAAAGACTGAGAATCCGGGCCCCGGAAGAAGGTATTTTGAAGTCTTCCGTGTATCACTCGCCTGCGTTAGCACCGGAGAAAGTGTCGCTGTTCGTTGAAGTAGTCGGTTTGCAGGTGACACGTTAAATGTAAATACAGATACGCTAAACTGCGTCACTGTCCTGAACCGTGAGATTACCGACGCTTTTTCCCCTGTGCTTTATTTTCTACTTTCATAAACATACGCTTACTTATGACCTCTTGTTTTAGTTTAAAGTTACTTAAATGCCCGAGGGCTCACCAACACTAAAACAGATGAATTTTGTAATTTCACAATGAAATGTCTTAGCAGCGCAAATTACAATTACTTACCACTCTGTGGATGAACCTTACAGAAATAATGTTTAGTAAAAGATGCCAGACACAAAAAAGAGCATTTATTATACGTTCCAAGTGGATAATGTTGACACACAGGCAAAGCACATCTGCAGTGTTCTAGGTGAGGCTGGTCATAGCGCTTACAGCGGGGGAGGGGGAGGGAAGGCCCGGAAGGGAGCTTTTACCAATGATAGTTTCTGCCTTTGTGAGTTTTCCTTCGTGATCATTTATTTCTACCCAGTGTAATTTTCCTGATTCAGATTGTAGGTTTCTGAATCTGATCAAGATCTTCTGTCCGTTTTAAGAACAAATGTTACTGTGTTCAGTGTTTACCTTCGGTTGTATTTGGGGTTGATTATTTCTCTCTATTTTAATTTTTCCTGGTCAGTTTTTTCTAGTGATCCTCAGGTCACGCAAACGTGACCTTCCGTTGCAGGTTTTGTCCATGATAATTTGGATCGTTTTTAGCTTTTACTCCAGTGTCACATCTGTAATGTTCATCACAGATGGGATACAGTGGATGAAGTCTATTAGTAATTTCTTGGAGCAGAGTGCTTTGGTAGGACCCAGACATGGGCCAGAGTCTGCCCCAGGGCTCACGTGTGGTATGCTGGCCCGGTCAGCGGATATTCACTCTTTCTCCACTCGCAGGCGGCGCTCCAGAAGCAGCAGGAGGTAGCGGTTGGGGGAGCCGCTTTGCCTACGCCGGCAAAGGTGAATGCAGCTGTGCCGAGTGATAGGACGTCGGTTAACGGACAGGCCAAAGCCCACACGGACAGCTCTGAGAAAGACCTCGAACCAGAAGCTGCAGAAGAAGCCGTGGAGAATGGACCAAAAGGTATGGTTTGGCCTCTGTGTTGATCTGTCCAGAGGTCGTAATTGAGTTCATGGAAGGCACGTCGGGAGTCCGGCTAACTAGCTTCGGAGAGCAGTTACCTATTTGTGAGAGTTGGATGCTTTTTTACCCTTTACGTCAGAATCTGATGCTTCTGGTGACCATTAGGACAGCATGGAAGGAAGGGCAGGTCGGATGTCTTTTGGACACTTGGGGTTGTGTGTTGGTTATCTGCTGCTGTGTAACAAATAAGACCCAAATTTCGCAGCTCACGGGTAACCAGTGGTCGTCGTCTCACACGGTGGGTGAGGGATTACGGGGGGTTCAGGAACGGAGGCGCGGCTCAGCCAAGCGGTGGTCATCCTGGTCCCATGGGTCAGGATGCTGCCAGGGGGCAGAGGTTCTGCCCAGGGTGGTTCCTTCTCCCGACCGGCAAGTCGGGGCTGGCTCTTGGCGGGAGACCTCGGTTCCTTGCCCCGTGAAGCCTCTCCTCCAGGGAACACGGTCCAAGAGATCAACGCAGAGGTGGCACGTCTCTTACATTCTGACTTTGGAAATCACGTGTCCGCGCTTCTGCTGTATTCTCTTGGTCCCACATACCGGGCCCGGGACATGGTGGCTGGCGACCTCCCAAGTGCGTGAGTCCCCAGAGGTGAGGCTCACGGGGTGGGGTGCGTCTCGGAGGCTGCCTGTCACGTGTTACCTGTGGTTTTGAAACTGGAGTACCGCGGTCGTAGGTGGAGAGTGTGTGATGAGGGGACTGTGACCTAGTCACAGAGGTCAGCAGAGGCTTCCTGGGGAAGAGACGACTGAGCCGCGAGAGCCGAAGCCAGAGTAGGAGCTAACTGAGGAAGGAAGGGAGAGCGTGTCAGGGACACGGCCTGGGCGGTGGTGTGGTTCACAAGAAAGGCGGTTTCAGACATCTGCCTTGTCTTGTTAGAGTAACAGAAAACAGCTTGGAAAAGACCTGATATCCTGTGGCTTAACCCGTCTTCTTTTTTTCCCTGTAAGAGTTTATCAGTTTTTTGTTTTTGTTTTTTTTCAAGTAATCTCTACACCCGATGTGGGGCTCGAACTCACAATCCCAAGATCAAGAGTCGGATGCTCTACCGACTGAGCCAGTCAGGTGCCCCACGTTTGTCAGTATTTTCAAATGAACCTTTGTCAAAGGTTCTGTGACCACATCTGGAAAACCTGAGTAGTCTGGTGCACATAAACGCTGCTCAGCGACAAGACTTAATCCTCTCTGTTCAGTCCCTAGTGGGGCCAGTCCTGTCCGAGTTTTTCTGTTTCTTTGAGCTCCTTTAGAATAGCCCCTAGAACTTGACTTCAGAGGTCAAGAGTGTTGTTGTTGTTGTTGTTTTTGTTTGTTTGTTTTTGACAGAGTGATTGAAGTCAAAGCCCGGTTTTCTTTGTCCAGATCCAAAAGTGAATTTATTCCTAAATCCAGATCTCCCTTCTTTTTCTTCTTTTTTTTTTTTTAATTTTTTTTTTTAATGTTTATGTTTATTTTTGAGACAGAGAGAGACAGAGCATGAATGGGGGAGGGGCAGAGAGAGAGGGAGACACAGAATCGGAAGTGGGCTCCAGGCTCTGAGCCATCAGCCCAGAGCCTGACGCGGGGCTCGAACTCACGGACCGCGAGATCATGACCTGAGCCGAAGTCGGACGCTCAACTGACTGAGCCACCCAGGCGCCCCATCTTCTTTTTTTTTTTTAAGTTTGTTTATTTTGAGAGAGAACGTGTGTGCACATGAGTGGGGGAGGGGCAGAGAGAGAGAGGGAGAGAGAGAATCCCAAGCAGACTCCACACTGCCAGTGTAGAGCCCAACATAGGGCTCGAACCCATGAACTGTGAGATCATGACCTGAGCCGGTCAAGAGCTGGATGCGTAACCGACTGAGCCATCCGGGGCCCCCGGGTCTCCCTTCTTTATTAGAATATTTTCCTGGGTCCAGCTACAAGTTTTCCAGGGTCAGTCTTAAATCCCCATACGTAATCGGAGTGTTGGAAAAAAAGAAAAAAAATCACTTCTTAGATTGTGGATTGCATTTGTCCCCTGAAGTGGTGTGGTGGGCTCTGGATAGCTGGTGACATTGGCAGATGTAGCCAGTGGGGGGGAGGCTTCCACGGGAAACCCGTATGTTCCTCGGAGTCCTCAAACCCAAGTACAACTGAGGTAGACCAGATGGCCCTTGGTGCGCCTGCCTGGGGCGGGCAGGGGCAGTGTGCGGGTTCGGTGCCTGCAGGTGAAGGCTCGTCCTCTTCAGCGTGTGTCATTCCTGCATTCCTGTTGTTTTTAGAATCTCTTCCAGTAATAGCAGCTCCGTCCATGTGGACACGACCCCAGATCAAAGACTTCAAAGAGAAGATTCGGCAGGACGCGGACTCCGTGATTACAGTGGGCCGAGGGGAAGTGGTCACCGTTCGCGTCCCCACCCACGAAGAGGGATCGTATCTCTTTTGGGAATTTGCTACAGACAATTATGACATTGGATTTGGGGTGTACTTTGAATGGACAGACTCTCCAAACACTGCTGTCAGCGTGCACGTCAGCGAGTCCAGTGACGACGACGAGGAAGAGGAAGGTAAGGCCGTGGGTCCGCAGTGGCAGGTGCCGAGGGGGGTGGGGGCTGTCACGCATCAGCCCGCCTCGTGCTTCTTGGTTAACACTTTTGCGACAGGGATTCGTGTCTTCATTAGTGTGACCTTAGCCACAAAGGCTGAGGGATGGGCCAGCCTCCCGGAAGGGACTGGGGCCTGAACAGGACATTGTTGTAGTGCCCAGCAGGGCTCTCTGGCAGGGGGCCGTTTTATTGCCTCCTGAATAGTGTTTTACTTTGAGCATTTTGTGTTGAAAAGCCAAATGTGCAAGATGATTCTGAAAATTTTTTAAAGAGTAAGCAAGAAATTCTGCCAACTCTGGAATTTACTTAAATTTACATTTCTGATCATTCGCTTTTTTGATTTTACTCTTAAGACTTTGTTTTTACATAGATACAGAAGCTCATGCCAGAATATCGTAGCTAAAGAAAAATTTCAGCCATTCCCCATTTTGCAGGAAAGTAATTTTTTATTTTCTCTAAGTAAGCAAAACGGAGTGTTTCCAAGAACAGTGTAAACTCTCTCGTCTGGGAGGTAGGTTATAAGATACACGCTTACTAATTGAGAAGATGGTCTCCTTGGTTTTGTTTGCATGGAAGTGAGAGCCCGGGGCTTGTGCGCGTACCAGTTGGGCGCTTGGGTCCGTATGTCAGCTCGGTGGAGGGCGGCATGGGAGGAATGTCCTGACCGTGACAGTGGAGAGGCACCTCCTCCGTCCTGGGGCCCAGCTCACCTTTCGGCTGACTTGTGAACAGACCGTTTGTCCTGGAGAGGGCTGGCGGTGTTTCACAGAGATCCCGCTGGGGTAGATTAAAAGAGATAGTTGTAGGGAGGCTAAAAGTTGAGTCGGCTTTCGAGGTGGGCAGTGGGACCGCATCACCGCACGTGCGCACGCCTGGCCCTCAGGTCACTTACGGAAACACACGCGTGGGCCCCGGGCCTGGAGGGGGAGCTCTGTCTTCACGTGGCATTCTGTCCGCAGCGGCCTTGTCTCGGGGCGGAGGGGGGCAGCAGCAAGAGAAAGCATTGCCCGTGCACGCTGCTGCCTGCACCAGAAGGACGGGCATCGCAGGAGTCTGGGAAGGGGAGCTTGTGTGCAGACGGTCGTGATTCTGAAGGGCTTTGTGAATCCGAGAGAGGCATTCTCGGTTCGGAAGGAGACAGATTTCTCCAGGCCTGCCTGCTGGAGCCTCTCAGAGGGAGGCTGCTTCCCGGTGTGAGCCCTCCGCTGAGTCGTTTGGGGGCTCTCGATTTTGGGAAGGGCGCTGGTAAAAAGGGCTGGGGTCCGGTGCCTGTCCAGAGGTGGGACCGTGACCCCGGACCTTTGCCCTAGCATTCGGTGCCCCTCGGGTGGGAATGGAGTCCCCGGTGCCTGTGCTGTTCCTAGTCATGAGATGGTTGCCATCTGCAGCTAATCCATTCGTCCCTCTGTGTGGACAGAGACCGCAGTGAGGATTTCCGGCTCCCGGGAGATGTTTGCCAGGAGAGAGCCTGTCTCCTTTGGGTGATGAGCTCCCAGGCCGCGTTTGTCCGCGTGCCCCCTTGCAAAGGCCACTGCGCTTTTGATGGGGGTCCTCGTAGCTTGGTTTAAGGGGGAAGGGCAGGCCAGTCCTCCCGTTCGTTGTCTTGGTTTTTCTCCACTCGGGCTTGAAAGCCAGAGGGGTTGGTTTCCTCTGTGGCCGGTAACTCCTTCCTGTCCAGATTCGTCACTGGCATTAGTGTTGCCAGGTCCTGAGTCTTTGCTTAACTGACGAAAGGTGCACTGCTCATGTATCCCAGCGGCCTCCAGTTTTATAGGTTTTGGACAGAATCGGGATCCTGGGTTAATGGACCAATAATCCATGGGTATCCTTATAGGCAAGGGTTTGCGTTTTGTTTTGTTTTTTTTTTTTTATTATTATTTTTAACATTTATTTATTTTTGAGACAGAGACAGAGCATGAATGGGGGAGGGGCAGAGAGAGGGAGACACAGAATCTGAAACGGGTTCCAGGCTCTGAGCTGTCAGCACAGAGCCCGACGCGGGGCTCGAACTCACGGACCGTGAGATCATGACCTGAGCCGAAGTCGGCCGCTTAACCAACTGAGCCACCCAGGCGCCCTAAGGGTTTTGCATTTTGTTTTTTGTGTTTTTTTTTGTTTTTTTTTAATTTTTTTTTCAACGTTTATTTATTTTTGGGACAGAGAGAGACAGAGCATGAACAGGGGAGGGGCAGAGAGAGAGAGGGAGACACAGAATCGGAAACAGGCTCCAGGCTCTGAGCCATCAGCCCAGAGCCCGACGCGGGGCTCGAACTCACGGACCGCGAGATCGTGACCTGGCTGAAGTCGGACGCTTAACCGACTGCGCCACCCAGGCGCCCCTGCATTTTGAATGACTCTGTATTTCCCATTTGCAAACACTTCAGTATTGCTGCGATAAAGCAAATTGGATTTGGGCCTATTTTATCAGAGTGTCGTTTGCTCTTTTTTTTTTTTCAATTTTTTATCTTAAAACAGTCTTAGACTTACAGAGAAAAGTTGCAGATAGTACAAAGAGTTCCTGTATATGCGCACCCAGCTTCCCCTGTTGCTAGCATCCGTGTTGTACTGTGGTACGTTCATCGTCACCGATGGACCCATGTGGCTACGTCGTCATGAGCTCAAGGCCGTTATGTATTCAGATTTCCCTAGTTTTTGTCTAATGTTCCAGGATCCCATCCGGGATGCCGCATTACATTGAGTCACCCTGTCTCATTCAGTTCCTCTGGACCGGAAGACTTTCTCAGACTTGCCTGGTTTAAATTCCTGACGACAGCCCTTGCGCGGTTAACTGCCGTGGCCGGAATTCACCGTGCCGAGTTAGGAACCTGCATGTTCCTCTGACCTGCTTTCCCGACAGTGTTTATGTTCAATACGTGAAACCGATTTTAAGCTGGTTTGACGTTGTTCTCGCTCGCTCTTTTTTCCTAACCTCATCTCGTTACAGTTCGGGAACTATTCCCAGGGGCAAACCCAGAACCAGAGCTCGTGTTTTGCCACTGGGATCATCCCTGGGTCACACGGGCCTGTGATGACAGTAATGGGCTTTCAGAGTATCTCTCGGTGCCTACCTCTACTGTGGCTTCCCCATTTTACTCTTTATATCTAAGATCGACAGAAGGTAACAGTCCTTCGGTCCCCCTTCCCGAAACGGGGTTTTCATATTGTCGAGGAGGGAGAGAACGAGGGGTTCGTTTCCCTTGGTGTTGCTCGGACAGCGAGATGCCGCCCACCTGGAGGAAGAGGAGGCTGGCTGGGTGCGGACAGGGAGGGAGGAGCGGGGCTCCGAAGCGGGAGCGGTTGTCGGAGTCCAGGGGGAGAGAGGGCGCCGGCCGTCCGCATCCCGCGATTGTGGCTGCTCAGGGAGAGGAGTGAGCGAACCAAGGAAGGCGGGAATAAGCCCGCGTGCGAAAGTCACAGATGGCTCCGGAGAGTTCCCGACGAGCAGTTTCTCGAAGGATGGGGTTTCGGTGCTGGACGCACGTGGCTTTCCCGGACCCGTTCACTGACGTGCCTCCGTTCTTTCCCACAGAGAACGTCAGCAGTGAGGAGAAAGCCAGAAAGAACGCCACCAAGCCCCTGCTGGACGAGGTCGTGCCTGTGTACCGGCGGGACTGTCACGAGGAGGTGTATGCCGGCAGCCACCAATACCCAGGGAGAGGAGTCTACCTCCTCAAGTTTGACAACTCCTACTCTTTGTGGAGGTCAAAGTCGGTCTACTACAGAGTCTATTATACTAGATAAAGATGGTGTCGCAGAGTCTGGAGTCTAGGGTTGGGCAGAAGATTGCACTTGGTTCGGAATTTCCTTTGACTTTTGTGGAGCATTGCAGTCAGCGTCTCCCCTTTTGATTTTGGTCTGATGGTCCGTGAACTCTCGTCGGGACTCAGGGTTTCCTTGAGACTCTAGCATTAATCCTCTGGGGTTAGAGGGAGTCCTCGGACCCGTCTGGCCCTTGGGTGCCGACCGGCAGGGTCGCTAGTGGATGCAGAAGTTACATGAGCTACGTGTGAAATCTATAAGGTCTCCGAAATAAAACCTCCCCACGTTGACCCCACCCGGCTGACGGTGAGTCCATTGCTGCCCGCTGCATGCGGTTGACGAGAGCCCGTGGTCACGGTGACCTCGGATCGGAAATCCTTACGTTCGCAGTCTGCCTGAGGTGCAGCTGACTTGGACGAAGGTCATCGTTTTGAAATGAAGGTCATCGTTTTGAAAACTTACAGACTCAAGACCCCACAGGTTATAATAGAAAAGTTGCCTCGATTCGCTTTTGTTCTGAACGACCCAGATTGTCTTTGCATTGAGTACGCCGTCTAGTTCAGAGGCCTATTACAGAGAATTATTTTCCGAGATAATCTTAAGAACGTTCAAAGCCGATTGGCAATTGAACCGTCAAGACACACAACACCTCAGAGGTCCATGTTGTTAGCAGGCCTCTGCAAACTCGGGTCCTTTTCTCTCCCTCCGGGACTCCCCCCTACCGGTGACAAAGCAGAATTCATTCATTTTTGTCTCGATTTGGCTTTGTAGAGCATCTCAAATTGAACCTGTTTTCTACACGAGCATATAGTTAGGGGGTTTTGTAAACTCAAATTGACACCTACTGAATTAAAGTATGTAAAATCACTTCAGTACAATTGAGTGTATGGGGAATAACGTTGCACTACAAGGAAATCACTGCCAGAGACAGTCTGTTTTCCTTTCCTGTGTTCATGCTTAGGCACGAACCCTACCCAGTTCCGGTGGGGAATTGCGTACTGGAGAGAATTGGAAAAACAGATGCCCATGCTTAAATTGTTCTATAGCTTTAATCTGCATTATGTCTTTGTAGATGGGAAGAGGACACCTTCGTGTCCCTTACCGAGAACATACATGGATAAACAGCTGCAAGTTGGTAGAAGTGACGGACTAGCGTAGAGATTCTTGTTTTCAGGAGGGAGGGTGGTGTAGATAGAACGTGACCGAGACGGCACTACACACGAAACGTTACTGGATGTTGTTACTGAAATACTTAGATTTTTAGATTTTTAAAACTTCAGATCTTAAATCACTTCTTGTAGGAGGGTCTCCGTTGATTAAGCTGCGTTCTCTACAGTTCACTACACGAGGGGCTGTTTGTCGTGTGTGCGTTTCTTTTCTGGTTTTTAATACCTGGTTTTGTACATACCTAACCCTCTTCTCTTTTGGTTATTCGGAAACTGGATTATTTTCTCCTCTGAGCAGTGCTTGATTTGTGTTCTTTAATTTGGATTCACTGGTTCCAGCTCAAAGATGTCCACACCGTTCTGTCCAGAACACGTTCAGGCTGTCCATGCGCGTGCGCGTACGTACGGTAGAGGAACCATGGGGTTAGGCGCTTCTTGGCTTTTTTTTTTTTTAACGAGAAAATATTGTATTTAAAATGTAAAATAAACTTTTAAAAAGCAGGCACTAATATATATTTCTTCCAGCCTTTGAGTACAGATTTGTTCTTGCCCATGTTAAGATAAATCGTCTTCTGAAAAGACCCTCGTTCTCGGGAGCAGTTTATGTCACTTTACGTAGCGGTGGTTCGTCATGTGCTCACGTCAGAACATTTTTGGTTTTAGACTTTTCTATTGCCTTTGGCTGTTGATTAGTACAGTACAAGTGCGATTTCAAAAAGATCTTGAAAATAATATATTTAATCAATTAAAATGTTTATCTGTAACCCGTTGACGTTTCATTGATACCGTTACTCTTGGAAGCGTTAGTTCCGTATTGCCTCATTTTAGACGGACCAGAAGAGATGTTCTAAATGATCTTTCCTGTTTTAAGAAGTTAAAAACCAACAACAAACTATTTCTGACTGATTATTGATAGTTTTTGCCATGAATTATCCCGGTGAGTGAAAATAGATTTTGAACTTTCCAGACTTATGACGGAAAGACTTCTTGAGGACGTATAAAATCGTTTTCCCTGTACAACCACGTGCGTAGCGCATTCCTTGAAGGACGTGGGGACCACCCGCTTTCAAATAGCTCCTGAGGTGTGACGCCCGAGAAGTACCCATCAGGGGAGTTCCCCGGTCCGTATCACGCGGAGTGCCAGAAACTCCTCTAAAAATGACCCCACTGAGACGCAGGGCCACTCGGACCTTAAATTTAAATTCTGTTTGGTTGAAACTTGGAGACGCAGAATGAGGTGGTCATTCTGAGCTGTTGGGGTTCCGGGAAGCCAGACCAGAGAACAGCTGAGAACTGTTGATGTGTGAGCACATCCTGGACCGTGCCACTGAGCCTTGACCGTCTGCCTTCCGGAAGAGGAGAAGCAGCCGGTTCGAAATACGCGACTGCTGATAATTCACTGGCAGTCTGCAGCCAAACCTGTCTTTCCCCAAGCTCAATCCAGCACTCCTGTCTGCCGCCCAAATATGTGTGCATGTGATCTACTCGGGGTAGAGCGAATCTTAACTTTATTTCCCTTCACTTAATTTTTCAAAAATGTGTACTGATCAGAGTTTGCAGTTTGATCTCGCATATTATTTGCCTAGGATTCTTTGACCTTCTTATTCAAAGTTTTTGAAATCAACTTGGTTATTGTCCTTTTGACACCCTTATTTTGAACTTATTCCATGATCGCTGTCTCAGGTACTTAACTGTTTTGCCCGATTTCTCTTGTAACGAAAGAAGCATTGGCTCCATTTCCATTAGCTGACGTGCCCCTTAGTAGGTTGTGATTTGATTAGGATACTTAATCTAAGTACCGGGAAACCAGCTGGCTGGCTTCTCCAGAATTGACCTTGGCATTTGGACTCAGGCCATCACACGTGGGATAACAGTATGTAAACCGGAGCACTTAACTCCTTCCTTGTAGTTCTCTAACCAGGCCTTAAGCGTGATTGCCCAGTTCAGCCTGGCGCTGAACTGGCAACTTGCAAGTCTGTGAAGAGAGCAGGTACAAATTTGATTACAAGTGCTGATTTGTTTTAACCTTTCTTTAATGTCGTGTCTGTACAAGTCCAAGTTTTTCCCCTTTGCCAAGATCACTAACTTAAATATCTCGTTGAAGGTGACATAACTTTTTTTTTTTTTTTTTTTTTTTTTTTTTTTTTTTTTTTTTTTTTTTTGGTGTGGCAAAATAGAGAAATGTAAACCTGGTTTTCCTAAGGCCTGCGTTTTGCAACTTTTAAAATTCCAGTCTGTGTTAATGGGGGATTTTCCTTTTACTAAGTGTAGGTCTGCCGTGTTCTTGCCATCGGCTGGGTCTCTTCCACAGAGTGCTGCTTTGGCCATTTTTCTGTGAATTGAACCTTTGAGGTTGCTTCTGATTTTTCATCCTAAGTGCTGTTCCAGTGAGCATTCTTTTACGTGTCTTTCCGCACATCTGTGGATACTGAGGAGTGAGAACTGCTGGATCATGAGTTCTGTGCATTTTTAATTTTAATACACCCTGCCAAATTGTCCTCCAGAGTGGCTGAACTAATTTCCCCTCCAGCTCCATAGTGTCCGAGAAGATACTGCTTTTTCCAACCCTTGATATCATCAGACTTCAGTCTAAGTCTATCCGACGGGTGAAAGATGAAGTTTCATTTTCATGTGTGTTTCCCTGATAAACAGTAAGGTGAAGCATCAGTTTTTATTGGTCCTTTGTATTTCCTCTCCTATAAATTGCCGGTTTGTGTCCTTTGACCCATTTTTCAATTAGATCGTTTTTATATGGATTTATTAGCATTAAAAATATAGGCTGTATGCTTGGGGCGCCTGGGTGGCGCAGTCGGTTAAGCGTCCGACTTCAGCCAGGTCACGATCTCGCGGTCTGT